ATGCCCTTACAGAATACGCTCCATCGGCGGTCTTGTCAAAGCCTTCTATATTCGCCATATACTAGTAGTCTGGTCGCATCTCCCCCCATGTTCGGATGGACTCGGTTGAATGAAACTGACCGCATCTGGGTTCCTATCGGCTTGAGACTGGTTTTCAATTTCGGCACTTATTTTTCTTATTCAAGGCGATACAGGCCAGTCCTGACCGACCCGCCTACGTACCATTTTATGAAATCCGTTACACAATGCCATATACAGCTGACATCTATTTCGGCCATGTTGATGTCGGGCTTTATTCCATTTTGTACCGCCACATGCAGGCCAGTCGTCCCTTTTTTTCTGATGCTATTTTTCTGAGGGTTTCTTTTTCTCCTGTTAAATTACTACAATCATTTTTAAATTTTGCTTTGGAGTTTTTTTTTCTCCCCTCGTTTTTTTTCATTTTCATTTTGCTTAACGGACTTCTAATCTCAAAAACTATGCATTGTACTTTGTGCAGATTTTGCCTACATCGTCTAAAATTTGCATGTAAATTTATTTTTACTTGCTTTGATGGGACCCCGACGGGTCTTTAATAAAAATAATTGAATTGAATTGAATTGTGGGCTTGGAGATGGTATTGGAAATCTTAACTCGTTTTGTACGAGTGCCCAGATAAGAGGATATAAAATTCAAAAGTTTGCCACCTATTCCGAAAGAGGACAATTTTAAGATGAGAAGAGCATGGTCAACACGGTCAAAACCTTAGTGAAATCGAAATATACTGTGTAAAGAGCAAAACCATGCTCCCTAGATTGGAGAACATAGTCAAAGAAAGAGAGTTGACAGGTGTCACAAGATCGAACTTTGAGCAATCCATGCTGAGCAGCACTCAGTAAGTTATTCGCTGTTAAGTGACACATCATCTTATCCTTGATCAATGTCTCTAAGATCTTCGAAACTGCAGGGAGGGTGTTTATTGGCCGAAAGTCATCAAATGATGTAGATTTGCCGTGCTTAGGAATGGGCAAAATGTGTGATTCCTTCCACAAGGTAGGATAAGTTTCACTTTCAAGAGCAAGATTTAATATCTTGCATAAGAGGGATGGGAAGATCGTGTTTGCATCGGCTTTTAAAATGCTTACTGGGACACCATCAGGGCCTGGACTATAAGATTGACGAAAACGCCGAATCGCAACAGTCACATCCCACAGAGTGAAAGTTATAGTTTCTAGAACTGCCCCAGTCAATGACTGGATGGTCGGAAGCGGAGTGGTCGAGTCTTCAATAAACTTTTTGGACAGGAAATCATTGAAGCTATCCGCGGTTAACTAGGCATCAACTATGGGATTTCCGAGATCTTCTCGAAGGATGGGATACTGCGTCTTTCTCTGAGTTCGTATTTTTCTAGAGAACAGTTTGGAGACATTTAACGAATGGTTTTCGGTAAACTGGACCTCTTCGGCTAGCTGTTTTTCTTCAGACAATCTCTTAGCTCGATCAAAAATATCACGAATCAAGGGCAGAACAGAAACATCGTTCTGAAGATGGAAACGACGATAAAGCCTGCGCAATCTGCGACGAAAGGGTAAAGGTAGGAAAATCTCATCCCCAACATTAATAATTTTCTTACGGGGGACAAAACGAGAAATAAGCGAACCCAAAATTTCGTACAGTTTTGCAGTGCAAACATTTACATCCGAACTAAGGAAGAACTCAGTCCAGTCGTAGGAATTAAGGTGTGTTAATAATTCGGTTGAGCGTGTGGATCGGAAATCGCGTAAAAAGTTATACTTTTGGGACGACATTTCGTCAGCTTCAAATTCCAACGTTGAAACAACTATGTCATGGTCTGAGCCCCCGAGTGGGCCTAGGGATGACACTGACGATGGCAAGCAGCCTCTACAGAAAATTAAGTCAAGTATACTTGAGCCTCGGTTGGGAAAATCAACAACCTGAGTCCACATCCCGACATCCACAGCCTCAAGAAAGTCATCGAACATTCTGGGGCCTGAAGGCGGAGACCAGCGGACTTCAGGGAGATTAAAGTCACCCGCAACCAGTTGATACTTAAAACTTAAGTCAGTCGCAGCATGAAATGCCTGTGAGAGTAAGCGATCAAAATTGTCATTGGCGTTGGGAGGGCGATAGACGCAGCCAACGAGTAAGGAGAACTTATTTTTTAGTGCAACCTGGAGCCAACAGCTGTCTTCTACTGCGGAAAAGTGCGGGAGGTCCAACGGCAAACATGTAAGTGATTGCTTAACGTAGACGCAGCTGCCCCCACCACGGCTATCTTGGCGATAATTTCGAATGCAATTGTAGCCTAGAAGAGAGAGTTCGGAGTCAGCTACTGAGGCTGATGCCCACGTCTCAGTTACTAAAACAATATCAGGACAATGGACGAAAACCTGAGTCTGAAGCAAAGGCATCTTTTTAAGCAAGGATCTGGCATTTAAAACAAAAAGTTTGAAGGGAAAGGCTGTTAGTTTTTGAAGGAGGTGGGCTGCATCGTCCAGTTCTGGGTCGCCCACGGAGCAAACGGTCCGGATGCAACCATCCGGTTCTGCAAAAAATTTTGTGGCATCAAAAAATTCTGACGTGGATAAAAAGGGGTAGGACTTGGGGGAGGGAATGACGGGCAGGTAAACTGGTAACTATTGTTAGCTAACTTATTTTCAGCTGGAAATCCGCGGGGCAGATACTGCAACACATTCCCGCCGGAACGAAACTGAAGATCGGATGAGTTAACTGATTCAGTATGGACATTATCATGAGGAATAAATTGGTAAAACAGCCGTGGAGGAAACAAGTTAGGGGGTGGGGGACGCAGTGCTTCCATTGGAACAAGAGGTCTATTAAACGGTGGGAAAATCGGCATATTCGGCCTAACTGCCTTGATATGAGGGCTGGGGGGCAGTTGGGAACACGGTACGTTTTGAGTCGGGGTATTTGAGGCACTGTTCGCCGATTGTGGAGGAAAACATTTTATAATGGTGCTGGATTTATTGGGTGTCCGAGTGGCTGAGACAGCAATTGGATTTGCCTTTGAATTAGACACATGCTTAGGCTTACTAGGGGTTGCTGGGGGAGTCGATAGAGGCGTGTTTATACCAGGCGTGGTGGTGTGTTTAAAGAGGTC